CAGGTTTTAAGAGTCTCTTATGTTTTGGCTCCCTCCCTCTCTAAACTACAAAATCTTTTTAAAAACTTTTAGGGGCATCTGGGTAGCTCTGTCAATTGAACATCTGATCTTGGCCTAGGTCATGATTTTACATTTCGTGAGTTCAAGCCCCACATCATACTCTGTGCTGACAGCTCAGAGCCTCAAGACTGCTTCAGATTCTGTGTCTCCCTCTCTCTGTGCTCTTCCCCCTCTCTCTCATGCTCTATCTCTCTCTGTCTCTCAAAAGTAATTAAACATTTAAAAAAGTACAACAATAAAATACTTTTAGAAATACACAGGTTCTTTAAGGACATGGTTTTAGAAATATACACACCTTTAGAAATAAACAGTTATTTTAAGGATATATAAATTCCTCCATAGAATGACCATGACTACTTCAGGTGTACTTTGATAGCATGAAATATGAAATATTTTTTAAGGAAACAAACCAGGAAGGGAGGCTACCAAAAGATATAAGGATTATTTTTTCTATTAAAGCTTAACCTTAGAAAACTTAGCTAAATAGGAAAACAGGGAACTATTTTCTTTGTATCTGTGCCAATATTGCAGAATATATATTTTTTAGAAAATCCTTTCCATTTAAAATCTTTAAAATTTGAAATGCCCAAATGGAAAAGCAGTTTCTTATAATTCATGAACTTTTTATCCATTATTAGACTATAAATTTTTTTTATGGTTGGGATATCCTGTATATGTGTGTATATACTTCAATGTCTTGCTCATACTAAGGACTCAACATAAATATTTGGGAAAATTAGACTTAATTTATTTCTAATTCTTTGTCTTTGATGGTTTGAGCCCATCTTCATAAAATCTAAGAAAGTAAAAAATAATGGGGGTACTTTATCACTTTGCCTTTTATTTTCTACATTGCTATGAAATTTCTAAAATATATATAAGTCATGTTTCTTTCTATTTAAATTCTAATTTGTGAGTTAAGGGACATATTTTTTTTATGTTATAAACTTCTGATATATATGAATTTGTTACAATGAATGTGTATTACTTTGCCACAAAAAAGGAAAAAAAACCCACAAATCTAATGGGGGGGGTGGGAAAGACAGGAAAAAAAAGATTTCAAATTGCCCATAGGATAAAGTTTAAATGCTTTATCCAGGTAGATAGGTCTTTTACCTGAGACTTCCAACTTTCTTGTTAAGTGTCATCTCCCCACTGGCACCCGCCACTCACCCTGTACATATGTACACATATCCCTACTCTCCAGTGAAATGAACTATCTTTTCTAATGACACTATTATTTTTCCTTCCAACTTGTTTTTTGGTGAGCACTTTATTCAATCTAGAAAAACATGCTCTCCCTTTTGTTTTCAATGAGATTCCTTCAAGACCCAGCTCAAAACACACTTTTTAGTCCACAGCAAAATTAGTGCTCTCTTCTGTATACCAGAAGTGCTATATTGCACAACAGCTTCCCCTGTTAACTGTGATCAGAGCAAGAACTGTGAGTCATATACATAAGGCATCTTTGTGCCTCTCTTCCTTTTCCTCGATGCCTGTGCCTGGCACACTACAAGCATTCAGTAATGCTTGCTAAGTGAATAAATAAATGCACTAACAAATTAATATCTTTTTTCTAAAGTAATAGAAATCATGTCTAGTGAATATTGTTAAAGTGGTTAATAAAGAGTAAAGTTTACTTAGCCTGAGAAGTAGTGCGGTGTATTGGCTAGAATTCCAGCTTTGAAATGAGACAGATCAGGGTTTGTTTTTAGAATCCACTAATTCCTAGCAGTGTGACCTTTGGCAAGTGACCTCATCTCAGTGGGTTTCACTTCTTTGATTTATATAAAGAGGCCAATAATATCTACCTTGCAGCCATTTGAAAATACCCTAATCACTTAGTCCAATGTCTGGCAAAACCCAAGTGCTCATTAGATGGTAGTTATTACTGTTAATTTTATCATCTTGTACAGAGTTTCAGTTTGGCTTATTTGTTACTGTCACACATTTTATTATCTATGCTAAATGTCTGAAATGAACATTCAGCTGTGTCATTAGTTTAACAAAAGGAGATCTTCCAAGAGATGAAATAAGAAGTTTGGGAGTTAATGGGGTGTTGAGGGGATTGGGGGTGAGATCAAGGGAACAGGAGAAACATAACTACTACCCAAATGGTCCCTGAAATTTTTATTCTAAGCCCCACCCTACCTTTTTAGGTTTATCTCAATTAGCTCTCTGCTGCAACAATCTTATTTGGCCCTTACACCTCCCCATTAGGGAGACTGGCATGCTGTAGGAAAAAGGGCACAGGCTGTGAAGACCCAACAGGTCTCTGCCACTTAATAACTTTGTGACTTTAGGCAAGTGAACTGGCCTTGTTGGGACTCTATTTGCTCATTGATAAAATAGGAGCAAACCTACTTTCTTCACTGGGTTATTCTGAGGCATAAGTTAATGTGTATGATATGCCTAATATTGTAGCTGGAACATATTAGGGGCTCAATGAATGGTAGGCTCCTCATTTATCTCATTCTAGGGTTATGACTATGTATTTGATTATTTGTCTAAGTAAGTCAGAATCTCCTTCAAGTGGCCTTAGAAAGAGACTTTCAAAGGAATGTTGAAAACACAGAGGAAAAGCATTAGAGTTTACTTTGATCATTTTTTTATATCTTACCTAAAGCTCCCACCCTGGATTCCCCTCACCCTGTAGTTTGTGGGAATGTGTATGTTTGTGTGATTTTAAGTTAGGACACTACCCCGTCTCAGGCCCATAAGAACATAAGTTCCTTTCATTGACTTGGCTCTCTGTGTGTCATGCAAGCAGCATGGTTAGCAGGGCAGAGCAACCTGTATATGTAGAGAGGTATAGTTGGCTACTAATGAACTGCATGTGTTGAAAGTTGATCCCTGCCACCTCATGTCTATGCATCAGCAAAAAGAGATTAACAGTGTTGAACCCTACGGCAAATTTCCCTGGCGCAGAGAATAAGAACTTGTCACTTTATTGAGAAATTTGGGTCACTGAGGGGCCTCACTACCTTCTTCAGTGCTTTTGTTTGGTTAACTTATGAAGTCCAAAAATTTTCTTTAAAAGCTGCTCAATATCTCTGTTTATGCCCCCTTTATTTTTGTAGGAATTTTCCCTTCCTGTCACCCCTGCCCTCAGCACTACCTAGCTCTCAACTGAAACCTTTCCAACTTTTCCTCCCAATCTTCCCTAAACCCTCTTCTCAACTTCCCTCTACCTTTCCCCTAAACCCTCCATACCTTTACAAATTTCCATTTACCACAACTATTCCCCTACTCTCTCCATTGCCCCCTACCCCATCACACACTGATCTGACTATTCCTGGAATATTCAGAACCTCACCCAAACGTTAAGCCTTTTCCAATCCCCTGTCTCCCAATTTACTTGTCCCTTTCCTCTTCCCTCAGCTAAGCCATGAAATAATTCAAACAGCATTAGAAATTGTCAATGTTTATTGTGTTTTTAAAAAATATCACTTGCAATTTTATTTTCTTCATTGGGAAAATGTTGCAATTGTTGTGCTAAAGAAAATCTTGATAAAAAGTCAAGTCAGGCTAACAATTACACTTTTTCAATGTTAGTTTCTAATATTTATTTTCATGTATATTGTTAACATCAATTATAATTAAAACAGCCCCACATTAACACAGGGTTCAAGGTGGGGGCATGCAGAGTTGGTGAAAAAAAAAACACAGCTCAAAGTCATCAGGTTTATTGCCTGATGTGAGATCATTGCATGATCAGAGAGGCAGTGTCATTGTACAAGTACCTTATTTCATTCTTAGAGATTCAGTGGAAGATTCTGAGAGCAGCAAATGCTGACGACAACTGAGGTATCAGAACACAGGTCATTAGGAGCAGTCACTAGGACACAAGATCTATTCAGCACTTATTTCCTCATGACATCTTCTATGCCACCTGTGTCTGAAGCAATTGTAGTGACAATAATGGGATGGAAAGGACACAATGCACTCCACTCAGTGTTTGGATCATGTGTTTCAAGCCAGTGAATTCCAAGAATCAGGGGGTACCATGGCACATGAATAATGGCAAACTGGAGCTCTTCAACATGGTTTACAATTTTAACTTCCATAGTTGGTGTTTCCTTGGTTATGGGTCCATTAATCAGTGGACGCTCATTTACCATTTCAAGCATCAGAAGGAAGATATTATTGCAGATGGGCAGCTTCTCTCTAAGAACCACAAAATGGTCAATGCTGTTTCTGTAGCAGCCTGAATCCACCATTGCTTGCTCAAAGAACTGTCGTCTTCCCAGTAGGATTTCAACAGTAAGCCATAGGGTATGAGACATGGATATTGAAAGTGAGGGGGATGCATATTTGTAGATTGGCCCACTGGGGTTCCCCCTTACTGCTGAGCCTCAAATGTTTCCTTCCTACTGTGCATGATGAAGCTTGACAGGACAATCTCTGGCAACATGACAAGGATGACCACAGCAGAGGCACAAGTGGGCTTCACAGCAGTGGGCCTGTTCAGCTTCACTGAGGTGTGCAATTGCTTGAAGGTTGCACAGGCTGGTTTTCAGCTAGTGAGCTTTTAGGCCCAGATCTCTCCTCAGAGTGCCTTGCTCTTTGTGGATTTGGATCATGCTTACAGCTTAGCTTATCTTCTAGGCATTGAGTGATCAGATTAGATAGGACAGTGGCTGAACTTGTGTGAGACAGTTCATCTGGTATAGAACTGTCAAGCCCTTCCTGAAATTGTATGCAGAGAGTGCTTTCATTCCAGTTTAGCTCTTGAGCAATGAGATGGAAGTGGATCACATACTGATGCGCAGGATCCTCCCTTTGGCAGAGCTGATGGATGCAGTGACTGACATATTCCATGTTTTCTGGATTGTCAAAAGTATCCTGGAGCACTGTGTGAAATTTTCAAATTGCTCCAGCAGGGGGCTTTGTATATCTAGTAAGGGCTGAAATCACATCCCTGCCTCATCTGAGAAGCACCTGCCAACAAAGCTCATCACAGATGCTTCAGTAGGTTACATGTAACTGACTCTCATGTAACTATTCAATTGAACCAGGAACTCAGAAAGCTTCTGGACATCTCCACTGAAGGCTAAACAGTATTCTAGGGAGAAAGCTTCAGCCTCCAGCTCACTGGGTGACTGTGGGAACTCTGAACCTGCTGATGTCAAAGCAGCTATTAGACACTTTAGGGACTCCTGGAGTGCGGAGGGCTCTAGGAATTCTTGGGCATCTAAAGTATCCAGGGGCTCATGGAGCACTCTAGGTTCCAGTAACTCCTGGAGAGTTGGAAGCTTAGGGGTTCCAGGTGCGTTGCGGTTTCCTGGTACCTCCTGGGGCTCCTGGAACTTGGAAGATCTTGGTGCTCTGAATTCAGGGCCTTCTGGGCCACTGGGACATCCCGGGTATCTGGGAGCTCCTGAGTCTTCTTAACTTCTAGGGCTTTGTAGGGCTCCTGGGCCATTGGATGCTTCTGGAGCTTTTTGACCTGTAGGAGATTTTGGAATTTCAGGCTGCTGAGAGCTCATAGACCACTGAAGGTGCCTGGGACTCATGAGTTCCTGGAAGCTCCAGGGACTCTGGGGCTGCTGAGGGTTCCAAAGTCTTCTTTGTCTCCTGTACCACTGGTGTTTTCTGATGCTCCTGGGAAGCTAGGGGCTCCCAGGCTGGGAGCTTCTGGGGCTCTCTGAGATATGAGGAATCCTCAACTCCTGGGAATTCTTGGTGCTCTCGGACTATTGGGAGATCCAGGGGTTCTGGGGGTTCCTAGGATCCTGGGTCTCTGAAGGATTCTGGAGTGGTTGAACCTCCTTGGTTGTTCAGGGCTCCTGGAGCTCTGGGATCTGAGCCTATAGGACAACATTTTGTTCCATTGGCCACTGCACTTGGGCCTTCAGAATTTTATTCTTGAACTTCAAAGCAATACAGGAGGCAGCTAAGTCCTCCACCATCTGTGGAAATGGGCTTGGTTTGGCAGTTTGTTACCAAGGGAAAATTGGGTAGTTCTTCTAAAAGCTCCTTTTAGAAAAAGATCCTTTCTAAAAGATGTCAGGCTCTGTGAATTTTCCAGGCGGTAGGGATTTGGGCCCCAGCATGGTTGATTTCCAGGTCACTTGGAGCCTCCAGTGGTCAGCAAAGAAGGTGTGAAATACACTGTAAAGAGAGTGGGATCTGAAGATGAGAAACTGTGGAAGGCACTCATGAGGAGGAACAAAATAAATCAGAACAAAACCTGCCTAACAATGCTGGGTTTCTGTTACTACAGGTTCATATTCATGAGGTGAGTCGTATATGCTGGTTCTGACCCCATGACATTTTAAGTACAACATCTGATCCAGACTGTGTATGCCAATTTGCATTCTTCTTTTAGCTTTTAATTTTTAAAAATTTGTTTAAAGTTCATTTATTTTTGAGAAAGAGAGAGAGAGAGAGAGCAGGGGAGGGGCAGAGAGAGAGGGAGATACAGAATCCAAAGAAGGTTCCAGGCTCTCAGCTTTCAGTACAGAGCCTGATGCAGGGCTCGAACTCACCAACTGTGAGATCATGACCTGAGCTGAAGACAGAAACTCAACTAACTGAGCCACGCAGGCACCCCTGGCCTTCTTATTTTAAAACTTAACATTAGAATCAATTTCACCATAATCTTTTCTGTTTTACACAGTCTTTATTATATCTGCTTAATATCCCAATATAATATTTGTTTTTTTAACAGCTGCTTTTGGTGATTAAATCAAATGTTGGAAGATGTGGAGATTTTAGGTTCTGTGGTGGGCCAACCCAAGAGATATTTTTGGGTGGCTGAGGTAGAAACTCTTTCTGACACCTCAGAAATCATACCACATAAGTAACCGCACAAGACCAGCCTCAGGAGAAAATAAGCAAAAGTTGACTAAATATATATATGCGCTTAGCAGACACATGCATATTATTTATAAAATGTCTCAAACTTAGTCCAGGAGCTCGGCTATCTGTGTACCCATCGTTGAGGAGGAAAATATTTAAATGGCTGTGGAGGCTTGCCTTTCCTGCACACACTGAACTAAACCAAATACACCCACTACCAGAACACATTCCAACTTCCCTCTGTAACCTAGCTATATAGAGTGTGGAAGAGGTTTTTTTGTGTTTGTTTGTTTGTTTGTTTGCTTGTTTGTTTTTCACAGTACCTCACAGTTTAAGACCACAGGGAAAATGAGATGCTGCACTGATGTGAGGTAGCCTGATATACTCTGTCCTTGGTTAATTTAATAAATATTTGACTAGGAAATTGGGAATAATACCACAACCCCTGTAAAAAGTTGCAAACATTTCTGAATGACCACAGTGGTTTGGGACATTATTTTTTATGTCTGTCTCATGTAACCACCCCTTAATCCATCCACACTAGGCCGTTTGTTTAATTCTTAGAGAGCAGCCTACAGTCCCTCAGCACCTTCCACATCCCACCTACTCAGTCCCTAGGATCCCTTCCTGACATGTTTTCTTGGGATCTTTACCATGAATAGATCTAGGCAAGGTATAATAGGGTAAGATTGTGGATGAGGCCAAATTTGTTGTACTGGTTGCAGTCTTGCAGGGCCCCTGACTTATTCTGAATGTCTTGGCCCAGGGTTCTCATTCTTTCCTAAGCCAGTCAGGTGCACCAAGCAAACCCCAGGTACCCCAGGCCTCTTGAGAAGTGACCTTCTTTTCTCATGACAAATTATAATCACATCCTGAATCTGGGCCACGTGACCATTTTAGGTTGGGCAATGGGAGAGATATTTTTGCCCTAGTAAAGAGTAGGGTTGGAGATTGACTTTGCCAACTTCAAATCACACATCTAATCAGTCATGTTCCCAAGTCTCCTTTTAAAATGGTCGGTTCCGAAGATGGCGGCTTAGGAGGGTGCTGGGCTCACCGCGCATCCTGCTGATCACTTAGATTCCACCTACACCTGCCTGACTAACCTAGAAAACCACCAGAAGACTAGCAGAATGGAGTCTCTGGAGACAAACGCAGACGAGAGGCCCACAAGAGGGTAGGAAGAGCGGAGAGGCGGTGCACGCTACACAGACTGGCGGGAGGGAGCCGGGGCAGAGGGGCAGCCTGCCGGCCAAGCAGAGCCCCGAGTCTGGCTGGCAAAAGTGCAGGGGCTGGATGGAGTGTGTTCCGACAGCCAGCAGGACTTAGCATCTGGGAGGTCATAAGTTAACAGCTCTGCTCAGAAAGCGGGAAGGCTGGAGGACAAAGGGAGGGAGAGTTGCTGAGCCCCGGGATGACAGAGCTCAGTTTGGCGGGGAACAAAGTCTTTAGCCAGCACCATCTCCCTCGCCCATCTCCCCGACAAAATCCCAAAGGGAACTGGTTCCTTCCAGGGAACTTGCTTGCTCCCTGCAAACACCCAACGGTGTGCTTCTGTGGAGCCAACCCTCCAGCAGCGGGTCTGCCTCCCTCCCGCTGCCACAGGGCCCCTCCTGAAGTGG